AGGGTTTAGGGTTTTGTAGATGAGAGCCATCCTGCGAGCGTCAAGAACACCGACCGTGCACTCTTGACGCTCGCCTTCATGGGGGAGCATGGCCGGCAGAACGGTACGCATCACTTCAGGGTTTAGGGTTTAGGGTTTAGGGTTTAGGGTTTAGGGTGCACGACACCGTGGACCTTAGCAACCCTGGGAAGACTTGCCAAAGAGCGGGCAGCAGGGAGCAAAAAACATTGTCCTGGTCTGCAGTTGTATGTTTCCCGTCCACCCTTTTAGGGTTTAGGGTTTTAGGGTTTTGGGTTTAGGGTTTATGGTTTAGGGCTTTAGGGTTTAGTAGGGTTTAGGGTAGCCGAGACGAGGCCGCTTTGTCATGAAGCCCTCAACCCCTTCATTTCTTAAGACGCACACTTGGACCCCTTCCCCCTTCACCGAAACATTGGTGCGTAGACTTCTCGCGAGCACCCACATAGGGATTGCCTTAAAAGCCATACTGTAGCACTTTTGGGCCCCAACACAAAATTCTTTGGGCCATCGTCCCCGAATTCCGTAATAAACCCCACGGCTGCCCCCTGCCCTCAGCATTAACCCCCCTAGATATAACGACCCGGCACGGTTAGACCGCAATTCGGAGCCATGCCAGGAATGCTCTTGGAGCCGTGATTGTTGTGGCTAGGGTTCAGGGCTTATACGTCTTTTTCAGGTTTAGGGGTGTCCCTAAACCCTAAACCCCTAAAACCCTAAACCCCTAAACCCCTAAACCCCTAAACCCCTAAACCCCTAAACCCCTAAACCCCTAAACGCCTAAACCCCTAAGCCCCTAAGCCCCTAAGCCCCTAAGCCCCTAAGCCCCTAAGCCCCTAACCCCCTAACCCCTAAACCCCTAAACCCCTAAACCCCGAACCCCTGAACCCCTGAACCCCTAAACCTCTAAACCCTAAACCCCTTTGTCATCTTGCACTGAATGCCTACTCCTTGCCGTTGCCATGATCCGTCCCTATCGTCTGGAAGCGCACGATTCCCTGAAAGATGAATGTGCAGGGTTTAGGGTTTAGGGTTTAGGGTTTAGGGTTTAGGGTTTAGGGTTTAGGGTTTAGGGTTTAGGGTTTAGGGTTTAGGGTTTAGGGTTTACGGTTTTCCTGTGCCTCCAGTTTCTTACTTCATGGGCTATACCCCTCAACCCTAAAGCCAGCAACCCTAAACCCTAAACCCTAGACTCAAGAACTAAGGGTTGAGTGCCCAGCCGTAGAACCAACCATACCTTTTCTAATGCGATGTGCAAGCCCTTACCTAGGGTTTAGGGTTTAGGGTTATCATTCCTAAGGAGCCGCTGGGCTTCTAGTTTTTGCCAGGGTTCCAAGTTCAGCATCGTTGCATGAACCTGTTCTTTGAGCATGTCGGGTTTGGGGGTTTTTGGGGTTGAGGGCCTTGCCCCAGCCATACACCCTAGACCCTCCAGCCCAAAACCCTGGACTCTAGTAGGGATTTCAGGGTTGAGGGCTTTTCGGGCGTATGGGGTTTGCGATTCACAGAACGCCCGCTCCTCCGCAACCGCTCGCCACGGGAAGTCGTAGAAAAGAATCTGCAGCAGCGCTCGGCTAGGTGGAGGCCACTGTTCGATGGTTTAAGGTTCGGGGTTCCTTGAACTGAAGGGTTTAGGGTTTAGGGTTTAGGGTTTAGGGTTTAGGGTTTAGGGTTTAGGGTTTAGGGTTTAGGGTTTAGGGTTTAGGTTCAGGGAGGGTTCCGGGTTCAGGGTGTAGGGTTGCTTGAAGGTTCGCAGGTCCTCAGAAGTATGGCTGTACCTTTACAAGGGCTGATGAATTGCTACCCTCCTCAGAGGAACTCACGAACCTTCAAGTAATACCCGAAACCCTAAAGCCAGGGCCAAAACCCTCTTGGCTTCAAAGGGCTTTCCTGCGATTTAGGGCTTAGCACTTCGGGTGTAGGGCTGCTTCATATGCCTCCTCTGAGCTTACTTTGGGGTTTAGGGTTTAGGGCTTAGGGCTTAGGGCTTAGGGTTTAGGGTTTAGGGTTTAGGGCTTAGGGCTTAGGGTTTAGGGTTTAGGGTTTAGGGCTTAGGGTTTAGGGTTTAGGGTTTAGGGCTCCAGAAACCCCAAGTCCCTCGAGCCCTGACACCTCTGAAGCCCCCAAGGCCAAACACTTCAAACCCTAGAACCAAAGCCCCGAACCAAAAAAAGAACAAACCACGAAGCCCAAAATCCCCAGGGTTTAGGGTTTCGGGTTTAGGGTTTAGGGTCTAGGGTTTAGGGTTCAGGGTTTAGGGTTTCGGGTTTGGGGTTTAGGATCCCACCCCCTGCCTTCCATTCCTTCACCCAGGGGCTGCGCAACCATGGAGTTCAGTGGCGGCTCCAGTAGCTCCGGCCAGGAGGGGGGCAACCTCGGATCTTCTTGCGGGACTTTGAGGGTTTAGGTTTTAGGGTTGAGGGTTTAGGGTTTAGGATTGGGGGTTGAGAGTTTAGGGTTGAGGGTTGAGAGTTGAGAGTTTAGGGTTTAGGGTTGAGGGTTTAGGGTTTGGGGTTCTTGGGTTCATGGGGTTCATGGGGTTCATGGGGTTCATGGGGGTTAGGGGTGCGTTGGGGTTCTGAAGGCTTCAGGTTTCTAGGGCTTATAAGGTTGAGTGTAGGGTTTTGGCCTCTTCCCGCGCTCCCCAGTGCGGCTTTGGTTCTGATAGGCGAGGGTGTAGGGTGTGGGGTCTTTGGGGTGTGCAGTGGGTGTAGGGTTTAGGGTTTAGCGTTGAATAAGGGCTTAGGGTTTAGGGAGTAGCGTTTCGGGTTTGATTAGGGTTTAGGGTTCAACGTTTAGGGTGTAAGGTGTGTAGCGTGCAGTGGGCTTAGGGCTTTTTGGCCTTGAGTTGAGTTTTAAGGTTTTTTTCCGGGCCTTGGGGGGTTAGGGGTTGTCGTTTTTTGTTGTGATTAAGGGGCTTCAGTGGATCTAGGGGGCTTCGGTTCAGGTTTCAGGGTGTAGAGTGTAGAGTTGGGCTTTGGGGCTTTCGAGGGCGTCAAGCGCAGCTTAGAAGAGGGGATTTAGGGCTTCGGGCCTGGGGGGGTTGAAGGGTTTAGGGTTTCGGGGTTTTGGGCGTTTAGGGTTTAGGGTTAGGGTTCTGCCCTTGTTTTGAGGGTTTCGGGGTGCCTGCAGGACATGCAGGAATTGCAGCAGTCGCTGAACGCAGTCGTCCTTCAGCTCTTGCAGAACCAGGCACGTGGAGCCTAAACCCCAAACCCCAAACCCCAAACCCTAAACCCTAAACCTTAAACCCTAAACCCTAAACCAGCCTACGCCTCAAGCCCGACAGGTTTAAGGTTTGAGGGTCTAGGGTTCAAGGTCCCTGATTCCCCAAAAATCCAAGCCTTAACACCCTAAAACCTGCGGAGACTTCGAAGGGGGTCACCCCAAACCTTCCCCCCAAAAAGGCCTTCCGGAAATCTTCCTCACTACTTCATAGGTCTCAGATTTCAACCCTGAACCCTGGAAGCCCTAAGCCCTAAAACCCTAAACCCTGGAAGCCCTAAACCCTAAACCCTAAACCCTAAACCCTGGAAGCCCTAAACCCTAAATCCCAAAACGACTGCGAGGTCAGAAAGACATGCTTCGACAAATGCTTTCCGAGCAACCGCTTTCCCGACCGCATGAGCTACTGGGCTGCCCTGTGGCTTTTTCTTCGGGTGGGTTCAGGGGAACCCTAAACCCTAAACCCTAAACCCTAAACCCTAAACCCTAAACCCTAAACCCTAAACCCTAAACCCTAAACCCTAAACCCTAAACCCTAAACCCTAAACCTTGGAAGGTAGAGGCATTGAAGACCCCAATTACGGCCCGAATGCACAGGCTTCATCCATGCGCTCAACCCTGAACCCTGCCGTTCCCCATCCTCAAGCCCTAACACTGAAATCAAGGCACAGGGTTTAGGGTTTAGGGTTTAGTGTTTAGGGTTTAGGGTTTAGGGTTTAGGGTTTAGGGTTTGGGGTTTAGGGTTTAGGGTTGGTTCCCCAGCCACTGACGTATTCTGCTTACGCACCCGTACCCACCCGGCATGGTCTCCCGCTGCTTAGCCGAAAGTCAACTTTGGGATTGCTTGTTGCCCTCAAGCCCCTACCTGGTTTTGTAGTACTATACTTTGATACTGTTTTGGTTTTGGGTTCCTATTATGGCTACTTATAAATGCCTAAGAAGTATGTACTTGTTTTCCAGGGTGTACTCCAAAGCCGAGCCTACATCCTGCATTCTTAAACCTTACTCCTAAACAACCCTAAACCCTAAACCCTAAACAAACCCTAAACCCTAAATCCTAAACTCTAAACCCTAAACCCTACTGTAAACCCTAAACCCTACTCCTAAGCAACTTCACCCCCCAGCCCTAACACCGACAGCGCCGCCTAAACCCCTCAACCTCAAACTCCGAACATACACCCCGTTTAGGGTTTAGGGTTTAGGGTTTAGGGTTTAGGGCTGAGGGTTTAGGGTTTAGGGTTTAGGGTTTTGGGTTTAGGGTTTAGGGTCCAGACTCGACCCAGGCAAGACGGATCACATCTGCCTTGCCGCGCGCTCATGTGAGTGTTGTTCTCCACCAGGGGTTGGGGTGTTTGGAATGGTCCGCTTCTATGGGTATTCCCAGAATAGGGGTACCCCAAATCTCCCCGCTTCAAGCCACGTTTCAAAGAAGCACCTCCAGGGGGCTGTAAGGAAAGGGGGGCTAGGGAAGTACTTCAGGAGTAAGATGTTAAACAGGCCGAGCAGAGAACAGCCCCATAATAGGACAGCTAGCCGGCGCTTTGGCTCCTGCGGGTCTTCAACCCTAGGTTTTGAAGGGTTTAGGGTTTAGGGTTTAGGGTTTAGGGGTAGGGATGCGCAAGGATGATGCAGTGCTCTCAGAGGGGGCCCTCGGGATACACTGACTCCTGAAAAACGCCAAAACATTCAAACCACAAACGTAATCCTACCCTGCAGCATCGTGGCTTAGCAGCGTTCCGCTTGCTGCCTGATGTTGCGCGATGATCTGTATTAGGCTTCTCTCGGGGGATGAATTGGTCAAAGTGCCGCTGCAGAGCGCCTCGGGCGAGGTGAAGGATGTGAAGGGCTTGCAGCAGTGCTTGCATCAGCTGCATGGCATGCCCCCACGCTTCCGGCAAAGAATGCTTCTCCACGGCCAGATCTTGGATGATGCTACCAAGCTAGACTCCCCCATGGAGCTGGAGCTCGTTCTGCTTCCATACAGCGAGGCTCTTGACACAGAACGTTTCATGTCAGCCGCACTACGCGGCTCTGCCGTCGAGGTCAGGGCCATGTCAGTTCAAAAAAAAGTGTCAGGTAAAACTCCGGAATGAGGCAGCAGATTCAGATTTTTGGGGGTTTAGGGTTTAGGGTTTAGGGTTTAGGGTTTAGGGTTTAGGGGTCTAGAAGGGGAAGTTCCCGAGGTTGAGTCCATGCTGGAGCATCCCGCCGATCCGGACGTGGCCACCGATAGGGGCATCACGGCCCTGATGACGGCAGCGCAGCAGGGCCACATGGAGGCTTGGTAGCCCACAGGTTCCCTATATACCCTTTTTTTTTGGTTCTGGGTTCCCTTATAAAGTACGGTCAAAACTTATGATAAGAAAGGTTCGAAGGTCCACCAGAGTCTGGGACATTTCTTAACCAGGCAGATGTATTAAGAAAGGTAGATTTGAGGCGAGAGTCTTAAAAACATTTCTTATTCAACCTGACCAACCCTTTGCTTTCTCCGCCCTCCAGCCCTCCAGCCCTCCAGCCCTCCAGCCCTCCAGCCCTGCAGCCCTCCAGCCCTCCAGCCCTCCAGCCCTCCAGCCCTCCAGCCCTCCAGCCCTCCAGCCCTCCAGCCCTCCAGCCCTCCAGCCCTCCGGCCCTCCAGCCCTCCAGCCCTCCAGCCCTCCAGCCCTCCAGCCCTCCGGGCTCCGGGCTGGAGGGCTGGAGGGCTGGAGGGCTGGAGGGCTGGAGGGCTGGAGGGCGGAGGGCTAGGGCTGGTCCAGCGCAGCCCTCCAGCCCTCCAGGATTAAGCCCTCCAGCCCCTAAGCCCTCCAGCCCTCCAGCCTCCAGCCCTCCAGCCCTAAAGGATTAAGCCCTCCAAGCCCTCCAGCCCTTGGAGGGCTGGAGGGCTGGTCCAGCCCTCCAGCCCTCCAGCCCTCCAGCCCTCCAGCCCTCCAGGATGCCCTCCAGGATTAAGCCCTCCAGCCCTAAGCCCTCCAGCCCTCCAGCCCCCCAGCCCTCCAGCCCTCCAGCCCTCCAGCCCTCCAGGATTAAGCCCTCCAGGATTAAGCCCTCCAGCCCTTGGAGGGCTGGAGGGCTGGAGGGCTGGAGGGCTGGAGGGCTGGAGGGCTGGAGGGCTGGAGGGCTGGAGGGCTGGAGGGCTGGAGGGCTGGAGGGCTGGGGGGCTGGAGGGCTGGAGGGCTGGAGGCTGGAGGGCTTAATCCTGGGGGGGAGGGCTGGAGGGCTGGAGGGCTGGAGGGCTGGAGGGCTGGAGGGCTGGAGGGCTGGTCCAGCCCTGCAGCCCTCCAGCCCTCCAGGATGAAGCCTTCCAGCCCCTCCAGCCCTCCAGCCCTCCAGCCCTCCAGGATTAAGCCCTCCAGGATTAAGCCCTCCAGCCCTTGGAGGGCTGGAGGGCTGGAGGGCTGGAGGTCCAGCCCTGCAGCCCTTCAGCCCTCAGCCCTCCAGCCCTCCAGCCCTAGCCCTCCAGCCCAGCCCTCCAGCCCTCCAGCCCAGCCCTCCAGCCCTCCAGCCCAGCCCTTCAGCCCTCCAGCCCTCCAGCCCTCCAGCCCTCCACCCTCCAGCCCTCCAGCCCTCCAGCCCGAGCCCGGAGGGCTGGCTGGAGGCTGGAGGGCTGGAGGGCTGGAGGGCTGGGCTGGAGGGCTGGAGGGCTGAGGGCTGGGCTGGAGGGCTGGAGGGCTGGGCTGGAGGGCTGGGCTGGAGGGCTGGAGGGCTGGAGGGCTGGAGGGCTGGAGGGCTGAAGGGCTGGAGGGCTGGAGGGCTGGAGCCTTGCAAAAAGGCCATTCAATTTGTAATTACGTTTGGGTTGCGATTCAGACTCTGAATATAATTATTTTTCTCAATTCGAGAGTCTAATTTCTTGCTTCATAAAATTTCTTAACACAAAGTTCCACCGTAGCCAACCCCTTAAAAAAATGGTGCCCTGATTATGGTATGGTTACTGGGCTACCAAGGAGGTCGTGCGGTTGTTGCTTGAGGCCGGCGCGCACGTTGACAAGGCCAACGACGCCGGTGGCACGGCCGCGATGCTTGCGTCTCTAAAGGGCTGCACGGAAGTCGCTCGCATGTTGCTTGAGGCCGGGGCCCACGTCAATTTGGCCGACAACGCTGGAAGAACAGCTTTGGCATATGCATCGGCAAATGGCCAGGTTGCGGTCGCACGCTTGTTGCTTGAGGCCGGTGCACACATCGACTCGGCCAGCAACGATGGGTTCACAGCTCTGATGTGGGCATCACGGAAGGGTCACATTGAGGTCGTGCGTTTGTTGCTTGAGGCCGGTGCGAGCATCGGTAAGGTCAACAATGCCGGTCGCACAGCTCTGACGATGGCATTCCGACATGGCCACGAACAAGTCGTGCGTTTGTTTGTGAAGGCCGGTCCTTACATCGAGTTGGCAGGCAGCGAAGGTGCCACAGCTCTACCAGCATGACAGAGGAGCTACGTTGAGCTCACACGTTCAGTGCTTGGCGGTGCTCATATCAAGTTATATCAAAAAGGCCAACAGCGCCGGTCGCGCAGGCTGTGATGCCTGCGTCTCTACAGGGCCGCCTTGAAGTCGCGCCTGTGTTGCTTGAGGCCCGCTGCGACAGCGAAGGAGCCTTGACGTGAACCGGGCCATATGGGGGCTTACGACAATAGGGGGCCCCTTCAATAGACCCTCAAATAGTAGGATCCCCTTAGAATAAGGACCCCAAAAAGGTACCCCTCATACCGGACACCCGCCAAATGGTTGTTGCAAACAGGCCGGCCATGGCTTCGGCTTATTCGCCAGCGACATCTTGAAACTCGCGCATGCCCATCAACACGGCTCATTGACTGCAGAGAAGTGGTAAGCTCAGATTAAGCACTGCTAGGGCGTCCAATATTCGCTGCTTCGGATCAGAGCTGCATTGAAAAAAACGCAAAGCATCAACTGCGCCGAGAAGTGTGTGGGCTTGGTCATGCATGGCGCCCAGGGGCGTAGCGATTTGGGGTTTAGGGTTTAGGGTTTAGGGTTTAGGGTTTAGGGTTTAGGGTTTAGGGCTGTTCAAGGCAAAAAAGGCATGCCGAGATGCAAGCGCGAGACCGGTGCCTTCCATCATTGCAGAACCATGGTTTAGGATTTAGGGTTTAGGTTTAGGGTTTAGGGTTTAGGGTTTAGGGTTTAGGGTTTAGGGTTTAGGGTTTAGGGTTTAGGGTTTAGGGTTTAGGGTTTAGGGTTTAGGGTTTAGGGTTTAGGGTTTAGGGACTCGGTGTCAAGCCATGCTTCCATCTGCAATTTAGTCCACCACCTCCTCCTACACCTGCTACTGGCACTTCAAACACTAAACCCCACACCCTCTCAGCAGCAACTCTCGGTGTGCGTCGACTTCTCTCTAGTCTGGAGCTTGTTTGTGTGTGTGTGTGTGTGTGTGGGCGCTTTCCTTTTTCCACAGGAGTCGGGGTTTAGTGCCAACAAGGGCTCCTTCTTGGGGCGTCCCTTTCTACAAGGAGCTGGTAGATAAAGCAAAGCTTCAAAATTTAAGTGGATCCCGAATGTACATGCATCTCCACAGAAAATCTTGTCATGGTTCGACCGCACCCTCATCGCTACCATTTTTTTGGTGCATGGTTCCCTTATGCAGCAACCCAAAAAAGGGTACCCTTATTGTAATATGGTTACTAGGCTACCAAGGTAGCAAAGCTGTCTGACCGTCTTTGTCAGCCATGTTGATGAGCATGCTCGAGTCAGAGATGTCGCTGTCGAAGCTGTTAAAGAAAGGGGCCGGGTTAATGACTAACAGTCTTCCCTTATGGTCCCTTTATACTTACAACAACCTTCCCCCCCCCCCCCCCCCCCCCAGAAAAACAAACTTATTCTACCTATTCATTAAGGCCCTAACCCTCAACCCTAAACCCCAAACCCTAAACCCTAAACCCCAAACCCCAAACCCTAAACCCTAAACCCTATTCGAATTCTTAAGGTGCCTCTAGCACCCTAAACCCAAAAGCCCCAGAGGGTTGCCGATGTCTCATGGGCTCCATGGCCCATGCTGGCTGAACCGTTTAGAGGGACGAGGGTTTGGGGTTTGGGGTTTAGGGTTTAGGGTTTAGGGTTTGGGGTTTAGGGTTTGGGGTTTGGGGTTTAGGGTTTAGGGTTTAGGGTTTAGGGTTTAGGGTTTAGAAGAAGCAGAGCAAGAACTCTAAACCCTGAACCCTCACAAAACCCGAAGCCCCAAACCCTAAACAATCGGAGCGTTGATAGAAGTCCCCCTCCCCCCCCCCCCCCCCCTCCTGCACGAGGCAAAGTGCATGGATCGGATGTATGAGGCCCATTCCATTGTGGTCAAGGCTCCCATCAGGGTTTAGGGTTTAGGGTTTCGGGCTTTCGGGCTTCACTGTTGAGCTGCGGCCAATTTTTCAAGTTCTGCGGACCTTAAGTTTCTGGAACCACCCTAAAGCCTAACCCCTAAACCCTAAACCCTAAACCCTAAACCCTAAACCCTAAACCCTAAACCCTAAACCCTAAACCCTAAACCCTAAACCCTAAACCCTAAACCCTAAACCCTAAACCCTAAACCCTAAACCCTAAACCCTAAACCATGTCATTCTCAGACGGCCCCAAATCCACACCGGCACTTTCCGGTTGATTGAAAGCTCAGTAAGCCTAAGTCCTAAACCCTAAACCTCCTAAACCCTAAACCTCCTAAACCCTAAACCCTAAACCCTAAACCCTAAACCGCTTCAAAAGCCTAAGCAGTTTCTGGCCCCCTGAAGAGAAGGAAGCCGATTCCTCAGTACGGCCTTTTTGATGGGCCTTTTCCGGGCCCTGCCTTGCTCACAACGGGAGATATGAAAGACCTTCCCACGACTGCAACGCCTTCGGGCCACAGCCCCCTGTTTTAAAGATCCGCTAAGGGAATATAAGGGCCGTATCAGGAGTATGAAGAGAACTTCTTAGGGGTACATCCTCAGGGGTCCGAGCTCCAGTAGTTATAGGCCCCTAAACCCTAGACTTATATGACCCCTCAAATTTACTACCCATGAACTTCCATCCCCTCCCCCCCCCCCGTCCTACACCATAAACCCTCTGTCCGAGGTCCTTGAAGCCTAAACCCTATGGACCTTTACATTCTTATACAGTTACACATACAGTATGTGAACATATATATATATATATATGGCAACAGGGCCTCCTGTGATCCCTAGGCTGTCGTTCAACACACATTACTTTAAACATTTATCATGTTAGCTCGTTTTCAATATTTTCCTAGCATACCAACCCTTCCAGACGCTCTATGTATTCAAGACATCTCAGCTGTTTCAGATGTTCCAGACATTCCCAACTTTTCAGACATTCTAGACGTTTCAAACAATCCAGACTTTCCAGACATTCCAGAATTTCCAAACTTTTCAGACATTCCAAACGTTTCCGACATTCCAGGCGCTTCCAACATTCAGGCGTTTCCAACATTCCAGACATGCCAAAATTTCCAAACTTTTCAGATATTCCAGACATTTCAAACTTTCAAATATTTCAGACATTCCACACATTTCAAACATTTCGCACATTCCGAGCTTTTCAAATTCTTAAGACATTCCAAACGTTTGGAACATTCCACACGTTCCAGACATTCCAAACTTTTCAGGCTTTTCAGACATTCCATACATTCCAAAACTTCCAAACTTCTCAGACATTCCAAACTTTTCAGACATTCCATACGTTTCCAACATTCCCTACTTTCCAGAAATCCCAAAAGACCCAAACATTTCAGACATTCCAGACATTTCAAACTTTTGAGATATTTCAGACATTCCAGACATTTCAAACATTTCAGACATGCCATTCCAGACTTTCCAAACGTTCCAGACAGTCTAGCCTTTCCAAACATCTCACCAATTTCCAGGCACTTATCTGAAAACATTGAAATGTCTGCAATATCTGAAAAGTCTGAAGTGTCTAGAATGTCTGAAACATCTGAAATGCCTGGAATATCTGAAATGTCTGACAAGTCTGGTATGTCTGGCATGTCTGAAAAGCTTGGAATTTCTGGAATATCTGAGAAGTTTGAAAAGTCTGAAATGTCTGAAATATCTGAAAAGTTTGAAAAGTCCGAAATGTCTGGAATGTCTGAAATATCTGAAAAGTCTGGAATGTCTGAAAAGTGTGAAGATTTTGAAATGTCTCTGGGAAGTTTAAATAGTCTGTCAGGTCTGTAATGTCAAGAACATTGACATTTCGGTTACTTGCATAAGAAGGCCCTGTTACCACATCGTAGTAATGTTTCATTATACTACAGTACATAACATATTAAAGACAACATATAATACCAGATACATATAATATATTTTATAATATATTATTATTGTTATAATTATAATAATAATAATTATTATTATATATACAGATAACATTTACCATAGATGACAAAATCTTACGTAATATATAGATATAATACACGTTGTATAATATATATATATATATATACATAATACAATATAATATAATATAATATAATATTATATTATATTATATTAAATATATTTAATATATATTTATATACAATATGTACAAAATAAGTTTATATAATAATATATATATATACATTATAATATATAGAAATGTATAATATAAACATTTTATATAATGTAATACATATGTATATATATATATATATATAATAATAATAATAATAATAATAATAATAATAATAATCATAATCATAATAATAATAATAATCTATATGTGTGTGTATATATATATACATAATTTATATAATTTGATATATATATATCCTATAATATATACATATATTTAATACAAATTAATAAATAAATATATAATAGTTATAGTATCTATAATACTATTTAATGTACACAACATATATATATGTATATACATATATATATATATAATATGTACAGATATAGTATTATAACTTCTGCTCAGGTTCCGACCTCAGATGCAGTGGCCGGCTCGTCAGTTAAAACAAACACTGACGCAGACACACAGACCTCGCCTGGCAGAGTCCGAGTTGTGAGAGTGTAAAACAAACAGCTGCGAGCTGCTTCGAGGCGGGGCGGCAGAGAGGGTGGGGAGGAGCATGTGGCGAGGGCGCCTCCCGCGACCCTACGAAACCATACAAAAGAAAAACAGCTGCGAGCTGCTTTGAGGTGGGGCGGTGCCCAAAGTAGAGAGGGTGGGGAGGATCATGTGGCGAGGGCGCCTCCCGCGACCCTACGAAACCATACAAAAAAAGCAGTTGCGAGCTGCTTTGAGGCGGGGCAGTGCCCAAAGTGTGCGGAATGATAGACTAGGCCTTGGTCGCGCTGACAATTAGAGTCCCTAAACCTTCAACCTAGATCCTAAACTGCTTCCGGCAGTGTGCGTGGGCAGCATTCACTTGTACGATTTGCTCCGGCAATGTTTGTGGACAGCAGAGACTTGTACGATTTGTTCCGGCATTGCGC